GCTGGGTGTGGGTGGTGGCGAAGAGTCGTTTGGAAACTTGGTAGAGCTTGAACCGGCCCCCCCACAAAGTGGGGGTATTGCCCGCCTCCTATGAAAACCCTGGCACTGGTGAGAACGGAGTGTCCCCAGTCTTCAATGACTGTTGCTGTTGTTGTTGTTGTTGTTGATGATGTTGCTGTTGTTGTTGTTGATGATGTTGTTGTTGTTGTTGTTGTTGTTGGTGTTGTTTTTGTTGTTGTGCAACCTGTACGCGCGCCGCAGATGGCGGCAACGCGCTGGGGCAGCCCCCCCCCTGCTGGGTCCCCACGCGGCGCGGCGACGCGGGAGCCTGGGGCCAGAAAGGCCTTGAGCAAAAAATGGCTACGAAACCTCCTCCCCCTCCTCCTCCTCCTCCTTCCTCCTCCTCCTCCTCCTCCTCCTCCTCCTTCCCCTCCTCCTCCTCGCCGCCCTCGTCTTCGCCGCCCTCGTCCTCTTCGCCGCCCTCGTCTTCGCCGCCATCCTCCGCCTCCTCCTCCTCCTCCTCCTCCTCCTCCTCCTCCTCCTCCGTCTCTTCCTCCTCCTCCTCCTCCTCCTCCTCCGCCTCCTCCTCCTTTTCCTCCTCCTCCCCCTCCCCCTCCTCCTCCTTCCTCCTCCTCCTCCTTCTCGCTGATATCTGGCTCCCCGGACCGCGTCCTCAGGCGCCGGAACGCCTGGACGGCGCCCTCCTCGGCAGAGGGGCCAGCCCGCCCGCTCCCGCCCGGCGCGGCCTGGAGGAGGAAGGGGAGGCGCGAGGGGCGACGAGGGGGACGACGAAGACATGGGGCGAGAGGAGGACGAGCCCGCCGACCCAACGACGGGGAGGGGCAGGAGGGGTCGACGAGGACATGGGGCGAGAGGGGGAGGAGCCCGCCGACCCAACGAAGGGGCGAGGCGCAGGAGGGGGGCGACGAGGACATGGGGCGAGAGGAGGACGAGCCCGCCGACCCAATGAAAGGGAGGGGCGACGAGGAACGCAGGGGCGGCACAGGAGGGGGCGACCAGGACGGGGGCGAGAGGAGGACGAGCCCGCCGACCCAACGCAGGGGCGAGGCGCAGGAGGGGGGCGACGAGGACATGGGGCGAGAGGAGCACGAGCCCGCCGACCCAACCGAGGCGTGTGAGATGTTCCCTCTGATTCACCTCCGGCTCATACCGGCCCCTCTTCGCCCAAGATCCGTCCTGACGCCTGCCCCGACCCCCCTCGCGCCCCGGCATCCCCGCGCGCCGGAGCTCCGCTGCCGCGCCCCCCTTCGCGACTCGCCCGGAGCCCACCGCGACCCCCGCCCCAACGCCTGCCGCGCCCTGGCATCTCCCTTCGCCGTCGCTCGGGCGTCCGCGCCCCGTGGATGCTGCTTTTTTGGTGACTCCGTGCGCTTCTCCTCCGCAGGATGGTCCAGGATGCTCCTCGATGGCCCCCGCCGCGAGAACACGCACACGCCCGAGCGATGCCAGGCCCCCCGCCCGGCCCCGAGCAGGGCGGGCTGAGCGGAGGGAGGAGGAGCACGACTCGCCCGACGAGTTCAGCACCTGGCCCACCGGGAGGGGCCGCGGGGCCGTGGGCTCGTCGGAGGTGTGCTGAGCATTCTCTCGGGGCGGAGGGCATTCTCTCGGGGCGGAGGGCTCAGGGCGAAATCCACATGGGCATTCGCACCTCGAGAACCAAGCCGGCCTGCGATTCGCCTTAGTGCAGATTCAAGCCTCGAGAATCGATCGAAACGGCATTTCAGATTTCACTTTCTGCCCTCCACCCAACGAGAATGCTCGGGCGTGGTCGCCGAGCACGGCAGACGCCGCGGACACGAAAAAGCCGATCGCCGACCGATCGAGGCGTCTCGAGCCATCGGGGGGCCAGGGAGGGGAAAGGCGACAGGGGAGGAACGACGGAGGATTAGACGAGGAGGAGGAGGAGGCGACAAGGAGGGGGAGGCGACAAGGGGGAGGCGACAGTGGAGGAACGACACGAATAAGCCGATCGCCGACCGATCGAGGACTCTCGAGCCATCGGGGGGCCAGGGAGGAAAAAGGCGACGGGGGAGGAGCGCCGGAGGACTAGACGAGGAGGAGGAGGCGACAAGGAGGGGGAGGCGACAAGGGGGAGGCGACAATGGAGGAACGACACGAAAAAGCCGATCGCCGACCGATCGAGGCCTCTCGAGCCATCGGGGGACCTGGGGAAAGGCGGCGGGGGAGGAACGACGGAGGATTAGACAAGGAGGAGGAGGCGACAAGGAGGGGGAGGCGACGAGGGGGAGGCGACAGTGGAGGAACGATACGAAAAAGCCGATCGCCGACCGATCGAGGCCTCCCGAGTCATCGGGGGGCCAGGGATGGGGAAAGGCGGCGGGGGAGGAGCGCCGGAGGACGAGCGCGAGCGCAGGGGCCGAGCGAGAGAGGGCCGTCCGAGGCGGGTCGGTGCGCGGAGGGCGGGGGAGGCGACGAGACTGGCTGGTGTGTGGCAGTCAAACATCGGGCTTCTCCAATGCAGAGCATCGAAGAAATCGGTTCAAGAGTTTCGCGGGGCGGATATGTATGTGTATATATACATATACATACATATATACATGCATACATGCATACATGCATACATGCATACATCCATCCATCCATCCATCCATCCATCCATCCATCCATCCATCCATCCATCCATCCATCCATCCATACCTACCTACCTACCTACCTACCTACCTACCTACCTACCTACCTACCTACCTACCTACCTACCTACCTACCTACCTACCTACCTACCTACCTACCTACATACATACATACATACATACATACATACATACATACATACATACATACATACATACATACATACATACATACACACACAGACACACATACATACATACTAGAACCACGCGCGCGCTTCGCGCGCGCTTAGGTTCTAGCTAGGATCATTCTCGCTGGGAGTTTGACGTAGCTTCTCGGGAGCCTCTGAACCTGTCGGGGGCCTCCTGGAAGCAGGTTCGAAGCATTTTGGGGGCCGATTTGGGGCTTCTCGGGGCCTCCTTTGGGCCTCTTGGGGGTCTCCTGGGGCCTCTTGAGGGGCCTCCTTGGGGCCTCCTGGCGGCCTCTTGGGGCGGAAGGCTCGAGCTTGCGGTTCGTGGTCCCCCTCTGGGCCCCCTCTTGGGCCCGTCTTGGGGCCCTCTTGGGCCATCTTGGGCGCCTCTTGGGCCGTCTTGGGGCCCTCTTGGGCTGTCCTGGGGCCCTCTGGGAAGCTTCTTGGGCCGTCTTGGGGCGGTCTTGGGCGCCTCGTGGGCCGTCCTGTAACGTCGGAAAGCCCAAAAGACAACTTTGTTGAAAATGTACGTTTTACGAAGGGAATGGGCAAATTTTTGCGTCTAGGGGCCCTCTTGGGACGCATGTTGGAGGCTTCTTGGGGCCTCTTGGGGGCGTCCTTGGACGTCTGGAGGCCATCTTCAGCATCTCGGAGCCCTCTTGGAGGCCTCTTGGAAGTTTCTTGGGCCGTCTTGGGCGCTTCTTGGGCCGTCTTGTCTGACTGGGGAGGCCTCCGGCAAGCCTCGACGAGCCTCCGGGCCCCCCGGGGTGCACATTTGTGGTCGGGGTCCCGGCCCCGGGCCCCCGGACCCGGTGCGCCGATATATGTATACATACATACATACATACATGCATGCATGCATGCATGCATACATACATACATACAGACAGACAGACAGACAGACAGACATACAGACAGACAGACATACATACATACATACATACATACCTTAACAATTTTCTCAAATCCCAAGCGGATGCTCCAAAGAAAAGGGGATGGCGCGGCATGCGGGCACAGAGGAGCGGGTGAGCAAACAGTTGAGAGCAAAGGGCTGGGTCTCGAAGCAGGGGAAGAACGAAGCAGCGAAGGCGGGCGCACACCGCAGAAGGCCGATGGGGAATGGCAGCGGGAACCACGCACAGCGGCTTCCCCAGTGCAAGGAACGGCGGCCTCTCGAAGCAAGAAACACGCCGTCCAAGCATCCCAAAGACAGCAATGTCATGGCACTGGCTCGTCCGGGGAGCCGCTCGCCAGGCCTGCACAACAGGCGGGCGGGCAAGCAGCAGCGAGACGGCAGCGCACGGGGGCGGGAAGCGCCAGCGCAGCGTGCGCCCGAACCTTGCGCATCCTGGCCCGCGAGCCGCCTCGAGCGGCGCACGTCGCGGCCACGGTACTTGTCGCCTTGATGTCAAGAAGGAGGAGGGGGAGGAGGAGGAGGAGGAGGAGGAGGAGGAGGAGGAGGAGGAGGAGAGGAGGAGGAGGAGGAGGGGGAGGAGGAGGAGGAGGAGGGGAGGAGGAGGAGGAGGAGGAGGAGGAGGAGGAGGAGGAGGAGGAGGGCGGAGGGCGTGGTCGAAAACATCAATGTCTCCGGGCGTGGTCGTGCGTGTGCGCACGAGAAGATGTACGGGAGGGGCTCGGCTCGGAGGAGTGCGGAGGGATGCTGGGACGAGCCTGGGAGGGGCTCTAAGGTCAGACCCGCTCCAGAGCACTCTGGGGGCGGGCGAGCAGACCGCTGAAGGCGAGAGGCCTGGCTATGAGCAGGGAGAGGCTGGAAGCAGGCAAGACGCAAGCGGTGCTCTGCCTCAAGGCCGCCCTGTGGATCCGCGGGGGCGAGCCCCCGATGCTGCACCTCCGGCGGCACGCGGATCTGCCAGCTTCCATTCAAGACGCCGGCTCGCACCGGGGCAGGCACCGGGCCGCAGGTCGATCAATGCCACCTGGAGTCCAAGCACTGCCCTGCCGACGTCCATCTCGTGGTCACCGCGTGGAAGTTCGGGCGTGCACGAGGCGGGGGCAGATAGGGTCTCGGCGTGAGACGGGGAGAGTCAACAGGAGACAAGGCCAAGCATGAGGGTGGCGTACACGGGGCGGGGGACGCGCTGGAACTTTCTCCGCCAATCCACATGGGCGTTCGCTGACAACCAGGGTCACAATCTTCAGTTTCTTGGGAGACCGTCGGCCACGAGCTATCCTCGTCCATGTCCTCGGCAGGCACTCTCTGATTTGGGCGGGTTAGGCCAGGCATCGGAACAAACGAGAGCGGGGCGGGAGGAAGCCAGTTCTTGCAGAGCGTACCGTCGAGCATGACCAGACGTAGGGCGCGAACTGCGGCGCGAGCAGCCATTAGGAGTCGGGTGTGGGTGGCGAAGGATGGGGCACGCAGAGCGTGGTATGTAATGAAATCGACCGGCATCTCTCGACTTGTTCCACCGCTTGCTCTGACAGGCGAAGACGCGCAGCAAGCAGAGATGAAAACGGACCGCTCGAGAGTCAAGAGCACACTCGACGGCTTGAAGAAGAGGGCGGCAACACATATAGTGAGACTGGCGGCCTGGCTGGCTGGTGCATCCAAAGATACACGATCGCTTCCCTGGGAGGTAACTGATGCGATAGCTTGCGATCCATCCCGAGGCCAGAGTGTTCATTACGGCCATAGCGCAACAACAGGGGACGAGACAGAGAAGGGCTTGACGCAGGGGAACGAGGAGGAGGAGGAGGAGGTTCTTCCCTCGTCGACGTCGTCGAGGGAGGAGGAGGAGGAGGAGGAGGAGCAGGAGGAGGAGGAGGAGGAGGAGGAGGAGGAGGGGGCGAAGTAGGAGGATCACGAGGAGGAGCACAAGGAGAAGGAGGGAGGAGGGAGACGGAGGAGGAGGAGGACGACGCATGAGAATAGGAAGAACAAGAAGCACAACAAGAAGAAGACAAGTCATCAACGTACTCATAACGATGGCAAGACTAAGACGAAAAAAGACGGAGGAGGCCGCGCCTGCTGGGCGCACTCGGCCGCCTCGCCCACCTCGCCGCGCGCCGCCAGGCCCCCGCCCGCGGCGTGTGCCTCGGGGTGCCGGCCGCCCCCCGCCCCCCCCCCCGAGGCCCTCGCGGAGGAGGAGGGGGAGGAGGGGGAGGAGGAGGAGGAGGAGGAGGAGGAGGAGGAGGAGGAGGAGGAGGAGGAGGAGAGGAGGAGGAGGGGGGAGGGGGAGGGGGAGGGGGAGGAGGAGGAGGAGCCCCTTGGGGGGCAGCTGGCCGCTCCCTGCGCGGGAGGCCCTCCGCCCTCTGGGCGCTGCGACAAATCCCAGAGGCCCAACGCGGTGAGCACATCAAGACGGAGGTGTTTCGCAAGTCTCGGCCCCGAGGGGCCCTCGCCGAGGCCCCGGGAGCGCCACAAGACGGCTCAGGATGAAAGACCGGTCCATGGGGAATGGGTCGAGACTTCCGGGGACCGCGCATGGCAAAAATCACGACATCGGATCTCTGGGAAGTGGGCGTTGCAACAAGTGAGCGTTTCTTCATTCGGCGTTTCGACATTGGGGCGAAGGGGGGAGAGGGGGGGGGGTCTGGCTCCGGACCTCTGCTTAGTGAGACTGTTTGGGGCCGTGCGTCCTCTGGGGGAGCCCCTCACCCGCTCGAAGCAGGTGTCAAAAAGCAGCCAAGATCTACTCCACGAGGGGGGGGAGGGGGGGTGCGAGGGCCCGCGCTGATCGGCAAAACAATACATAACAAAACGATCACCAAAAATCGCGATTGTGTGTTTCGCCGTTTTCGGCTTCTGGGAGCCCTTCCCCGAAATTCATTCCCCAACCGGTGCTTGCACTGAAGGGGTCGAAGCAGAAATTGCAAGACTTGGCGTAAATTTCCCGCCGATTTTTTGGTGGCCAGCTGGGTTCCCCGGTTCCCGGTCCCGAGTTCCCAGATTCCTGGCTATGGGGTTGTCTGGGGCTGTCCTGGGCGCCTCTTAGGGAGTCTTGGAGCCTTCTTGGCCCGTCTTGGGGCCGTCCTGAGGGTCTCTTGGGTGGTCTTGGGGTGGTCTTGGGAGCCTCTTCGGCGCTCTTGAACCGTTGGAAGCCCGAAAACGCGAGAAGCCAAAAACATTGAAAAAAAAATGAAACTCTACGATGTTGGCCTCTTCGGGCCGTCCCAGGACGCCTCTCGGACCTCTCTTGGGGTCTCTTGGAGGTTACCTGAGAGCCTCGAGAGCCGTCGGAAGGCTGACTTGGGCTGCTTGGGAGCGGCTTGGACCATCCTTCCGCATTTTGGGCGCTCCTGGGAGCCGTCTTGGGCCCTCCTGGAGCGCCGTGGAGGCTCCCCAGAACGCCCGGGGGAGCGGTACCGGGAGCGTCCCCGAGATGTGGCGGGGAGGCGTGGCACCCGGGGCCGGGGGGGATGGGCGGTATTTTTGTTATATATTATACTATCGTATAGTATATCCGACTATCTATATCTATATATATATATATATATATATATATATATATATTGCAAGTACACAACTTGTCATGACACAAGGTGTTACGTTGTATACGTATACCATCTATAAATAGCAGTCTGGATGTATGGGGCGCCCACGGGCGGCGGCCAGCCGAGCACCAAAAACTCGCGCCCGGTTCCTTTGCAGGCGAGGGAAGAACTCCACTGCGGCAGGCGCTGCCTGGAGAACGGGCTCCCGGCCCCCTCTCCTTACAGTCGGGGCCTTGACCTAACCCAAAATAAGGAACGAGGTCCCTTTTTTCCATAAGTTACACTTCGATTTCCGATCGAAAACATAAGGAAAACCTGAGGCAAGCTGCGAAACACTTAAGGAACACGGAGCCCCTCCCCAACAAAAAGGGTTCCTTCTTCAGGGCCCCGACTGTACTTGTGCCTCTGCCCAGCACGGCACCGACCTGCGGCGCCGCGCGACTGCAACGTCAGGCGACGCAGTGCAAACGGAGCGCAGCCGCAGCGTGACAGGTTGCACCGCGCACGCGTGCACGCCAAAAGCAAGCTCCCTCGAACTCGGATCGACCATCGAAGTATGGCGAACCAAAGAAACGCAACGTAAAGCGAATCACATCAGATCAACGCAAAGCGATGAATCAATACTTACTCAGAAGAATGGGACATACATCCAGCAACGGCATGCAACTCCACACAACGCAACGCACATACTCACGCAAGTGCGACGCGTTGCCATGCAGGGCAACACAAAACTAACAATTACACCCCTGATCTGGAACGGAGTGAAGACCTCATTAGCTTGGCTTCCTTTGAAGCTCGCCGCCAATCTTCACTGTAGCTTCTTACCAGGTTGACTTCAGCTTGACTCCTGCAGGCATCAAGCCCAAGTTTGGGCCGCGTGGGGGTCATTGGGATGTGTTAATGTACTCAAAGGTCTCGAGCGAGCCATCGACTCTGACAACGTAGCCCTTCCATCTTTGTAACACGTGGAAGCTCCACCCGAGCAGCTGCTGGAAACTGGTGTTTGTTTAGATTCCCAAGTAGGGCAGCCCCATGTTTTCAAAGGATCCCCTCCCTCCCACGCGTCTGCATGGTTAAAGCTTCATAGCCAAATAACGTAAGTCAGGGAGGCATGGGCGAGAGAACAACATTGATAGAGAACTGCCATCCATCCACAACCCATGGCCATTGGACGGATTTCACCACGAACGCGCGCGGCCCTAATGTGAGAGCCAGAATATGAAAAGAAACCGCCCTCCATCTTTGGGATTGTCTTTGGAAGCTCTGAACTGCATAGGTGCGAACGACGCCGTGCACACTCCGCCAGCCTGTGGCGAACTTTGATGCGAACGCGTGCGGCACCACTGCGAGAGCCTGGTCTAGGGGGCCACATGCGAACCCTACCCCTACCCCCCACGATTTCCGAGGGGGAGGGTGGGGTTCACTTCGTAGGGGTTAGGGGTTAGGGGTAGGGTTCGCATGTGGCCCCCTATGGTTTCGAACACGACCCACCCACATCCGTGTCCCGCTTCGAGATTCAACGTCTGTCGGGTCATAGCTTGTGGTGGGATCTGTAGCAGCAGCAAGCCCGGGCAGCCTGCTGGCTGGAGTCGTCCACCCCAAGGAACTCTCCATCGCCGGGCAGCAGGATCCGTTCCCTCTGCCTTGCGAACAGAGCGGGCGAAGGAGAAGGAGGAGGAGGAGGAGGATGAGGAGGCGGAGGAGGAGGAGGAGGAGGAGGAGGAGGAGGAGGAGGAGAGAGAGGAGGAGCAGAAGGAGAAGGAGAAGGAGGAGAAGGAGAAGGAGGAGGAGTACGGGGAGGAGGAGGAGGAGGAGGAGGAGGAGGAGGAGGAGGAGGAGGAGGAGGAGAAGGAGGAGGAGGAGGAGGAGGAGGAGGAGGAGGAGGAGGAGGAGGGGGGGGAGAATGGAGCCGAAAAGGTAGGGTGATAGGGGACAGGATGGGTACGAGGAGAACGCAAGGAGCGTGCGAGGAGGATGCAAGGAGGATTCGAGGAAGACGCGCGAGAAGAATAATAATAATAATAATAATAATAAGAATAATAATAATAATAATAATAAGAAGAAGAAGAAGAAGAAGAAGAAGAAGAGACGAACAAGGGAGGAAGGAGGACAACGACACAGAGGACGAGGACGCAGACGAAGACCACGGGCGACGGGGAGGACGACGCCGAAGCGGAGGAAGACGACGAGGAGGAGGAGGAGGACCACGAGGACAGGGACGAAACGACGATGCGGACGACGACGACGACCGTGCGACGACGACGACCGTGCGACGACGACGACGACGACGACGACGCCGACGACGCCGACGCCGACGCCGCCGACGACGACGACGACGACGCCGACGCCGACGCCGACGACGACGACGACGACGCCGATGACGCCGACGACGCCGACGACGACGACGACGACGGCGACGACGACGACGACGACGACGACGACGACGAGCCGCGCCCCGCCTCCCGGACGCGGGCGGCGGGCCGCCGCCGGGAGCCGGCGCCGCGCCCGCGCCCCCCGCGCCTCGGGTCGGGCGTTGGCAGAACTGGGTGCAGCGGAACCTGGTTTGGTGATTTGTACTGGGGGCGCCCCCCCGCCCCAGTTCCACTGCCGTCACCCGAAAAAACACCAGTGAAAGCAAACCTGGTTTAGTGAATCTGGCCAGTTGAGGGGCCCCAGGGCCCTACCACTAACCGGGTCCGGGGTCCTGGCTATACCCGATCGGGGGGGTGCCAGTTTTAGGTC